GGAGCAAAACAGATCTGGAACCAAAAGGGCTGATCTTCCGGAGGGTCCTCACCTCTATACTGGGCATGAAGGGTATGGTATGGAATAGATTATTGGCCACTCTGGGTCTCAATCCCGAACCTAAGATCAAATCCTGGGCTAGTAACCAAGGCTGTGTTCCCTCCTAGCTCCCCCACGCCGTCTGCAGGGAGCAGAGAAGTTGAAAAACCTTGAATATCCTGGCAACAACTGTAAACATCACTTTTCATCAGCTTTCTTCTGAGCACAAATCCAAAACTCATCCTCTTGCTAGCAGTTATGAAGATAGTGAACTCTGTCTCTGCTTAACCCAGGACAAGACATGTCTCGTACCTTAACCTTTTAAAGGCTTATTTTTCTTTTTAACCCAATAGCCTAGCATGTCAACATTCAGAACATACACATACCACACACACACACACAATGTCTGTGCAATATGTAAGGACACATTGTCTTTGAATCTGCATTTTGCTTTGTCACTATTAACCATGCAGCATTATCTTTGAACTATGGGGATTCTCTCTTTAACAAGCAGTAGATAACTTATCTGGTCGCAGACTGAATATGTATATTTCCTCCTAAAAAAATTATTATTTTGTGTTGCATTTATATGGATAAAAAAACACATGTTCCATCTTGTGTGTGCATAGGATTTTGGTCTAGTTGGGTGGACAACTTGATGGGTAAAAAGCCATCTGGATGATCATATTCAGAGCATAGCAGTTTGGTTGAACTCTACCTGGAAGCCAGTAATAAGTGGGGTACCACAGGAGTTTATCCTAGGATTTGTCCTGTTAAACATTTTTATCAGAGACCTGGAAAAGGTTGTGGCATATATTGATGTCAAGTTTTCAGGTGACTCCAGTTTCGGGGTAATAGCCAACACACTGGCAGGATGACCATTGAGAGGGGACCTAGATAGGTTGGCAGAATGGGCCAATAGGAATCTTATGAAATTCGGCATGGATAAATGCAAAGTCTGGGCCCTGAGAAGGAAGAACCCCCTGCAATGGCAGAGGCTGGGGACTGACCAGCTCTGCAGAAATGGCCCTGGGGGTGAAGGCAGACAGTACTTTTGGGGTCCTTGAGGTCCCTTCCAAGTTGAACTATATGATAATGATGAATAAATGCAGAAGTAGTCTATCTCTTTTTTCATAGTGTAATTTTGAACACTGCAGTATTCCCTCCCTTGAGACACAGCTTTTCAATGTGAGATTCTTACAATTCGAGGGTTTTGTTCTACAATATGCTCACTGATTTATTAAAGGTGATACGCCTCAGGTATCCCAATGTATTTTATTAATGCTGACGAATAGTTAAACTGGTTTTTGGTGTAGCCAATTAACTCAGGTCCATAGTATGCTTATATAAATCTACTTATTTATATAAATATTACTTGGTTGTTCCCCATGTACATTTACATGGACTTAATCCATGTAAGCCAGATTATATTTGCAGATAACACAAGATTTTTTTTTTTCTATAATTGCTCTATTCTCATGTTTCACAGCCCAGATTAAGTTGATTTACTTACAACTATGTCAAACTTTTAATTGCTGGTCACACACACAGGGGAAATGTCTCTGTATATGTGAAAGGAAGGGGAGGAGTTTCAATACATGACTTCTGTCGTGCCAAGGCCACAGAAGCCCCTCTCTGTGGGAACTTTGCTATCTACTGGAAGCTACGCTTTTGATGTTGTGATACCCATGAATTGAACAGCTTTTCTTCAGGATTGGTGACTTTCATCCAAAAAATAGGTGTTTGCTTACTCCATTTGCTCTTAAGTCAAATCCAGCCCTGATAAGTCTGAGCCCCCTCTTTTTAAGGGACACAGGATTGTTCCCCTTTTAAATCTGGTTGTTTCTGGTTGAAGTGACTGGAAGATGTCCTGTGGTCTAAAAGATGTACCATCGATCCAGTAGATAGTATATGCCCCAAACATTCTTAATGCAAGAGGAAAAGAAGGAAAGGAGCTCTCCCTGAAACCAGAGCAGATCAGTAATGACTAGGACAAGCATAAATACTAGAGCGTAACAGACTTGTCCTTCCTCTCTCACCTTCTGTCACTGGCTTCCTATATTCTCAAAGCAGCAAGCACTTCACACTTCACCGTGATGGAGTCAGGGTAAAAACGGAGATGAGCAAGAGATTCATTCACAAGACTGCATTCCACCAGACATTTTTGTTCTCAACTGCTCTTTCTGCTCTGACAAATTCAATATTTTTAATGAGCCCTGATAACTAAAACTGCAGTGGCATTTAACATGACTACTATAGCACAAGACACAAATACCACTCCAAAATTCTATGCTACTACAGGATGTTCTCTTGGATCACTGTTTGTAGCTGATAATTTGCAAGGCTAAAGATGCTTTGGATATTTTCCCCATGGGAACCAGATCAAATGCTATCCTAATTTATTATTTGTGTTATGAGCAGACATCCTACTAACCTTTCAAAGAGTTTTAATTATAGAAAGAAATAATGTATAGAAATAATAATTTCACATTTATTACTCCCAAAAATACAATTACAATTGGAGTACATGTACACAATAATACTTGCGTGCTTGTTTCATAATTTGCAATGCAGGCAAAATTTCCATATCCCTTATTCACTGCTTTTTATAGACTACTAAAAAATAACAACTAGAATTTAAAAATATTTTTTAAATCTTTATCTATAAAACTTATTTTTTCTTTCTTAGTGTTTTCCAGGGTGCCTGACAATACAAATTCGTACTATTTTGTGTATTTTTATTGTGATCTTAATATACTCTGTGGCTCAAGGATGTGTGGTGAGTATTTAAATCAAGTATCGCTTAATTTGGCATTGTTTAAATAACAACCTGGTAAAGATCTGTTAAACACATACCATATTCTCATCTGGTGGATTCCTACTCTTTTTATTATTCATACTTGCAGAGCATGCTTCTTCAAAATTAAAGCCCTTTGCTGTAATTTGAACTTGCACTGCCCTGAGTCAGGGTGTTGAGTTAGGAATGGTAAAGCTATTAGCAAATTATGCAGATAATACCTAGTCAACATCTGTGGAAATTTTTGTATCAAGCCTTAGTATCCCATAGTCTGCTGATGTCATGTGCTCTACAGGAGAAGTATTTTTAAATGTTGAACTTGCTTACTAGTTCAATGGCTAGTGTTTTTTGACAGACAAGGCATGGTGTTAAACAACATTACTTATTTCTATGTGGCAACTTACAGAACATATCTGTGTGTAACAACAGGGGAATATTTTTAGTCCGGGCAGATCAGAAAGATAACGAGATCTTAAAATACGGACAGCATTGCGTAACGAGAAGAGGTTCTTAGAATCTGGTACTTACGTGGTCCTTTCACATCTAATGTCTAAGAAGCTTCTCTTGTATGAAGTGAACTTGCTCAAAACTTCTGAAGATTGAACTTCTTTTACTGCAGATTAGCAGCTTGTTCTACACGTTGGACTTGAATGTCAAATGGGATTTAAACCTCCACCTAAGTATTTGGCATTTAGTTGCCTTGTCAGATTCCTAGCACTCCATTTCAGCATTTTGGCTGCTAATGCTAATGAATTAAAGATTTTAGGGTACCCAAAGGAAAGAATACACACAAAAATAGCACGCTAAACACAACTGGAAATGCTAAGAAGGCAGATGTCTGAAGTCATGCCTCTCTGTGGGATTTAGGCAATGCGTTCTGACCAAATGGAAGACAGTGATTTCATGAGCAATTCACAGCGCTAACTGAGGTGCCAAGCCCCTTATTTTGTATTTAGTGTATTCACTCATCCCTGGACCTGCCCTGAGAACATCGACCAAGCTGATCCCCATGAACTGAAAGGGCAGAGGATCCCTTGTCTGTGAATTTCAGTGTCCTGAGAGGTACCAAGAATTACTGATGTTCAGACATTTCTGGGAATTCCTGAACGTCAGTGTGTGAATAACACACAGTCGTAATAGCACACAGACGTGTATATATATATATGGTTCTCAATGTGCGTATAAGCCCAGAATGCATAGAAATGCATAGTGCCTCCAGGCTAGCTAGCATCTCAGCAAGTTCTGTGTATCTGATTTCGGGATTGAGGCGAATGTCATGACAGCCTGAACCTTTGTGGATCAGCCCCTGTAAATCTGACACTTACTTTGCCAAATGAAACAAGAACTGTTTTTGCCACTTAAAGGCAGTGAAAATGACCAGACATCAGAAGGCCAAAGGCAATGCTGAACACTAGTGGAAGAAAGCAGATGAGAATTCAGAAGTTCTGGCCTCCAACAAGACAGTGATCATTCAGTTACAACTTAGAATAAGTCACAAATATACGTTTGTGCTTTATTGAAGCAAAAATAACCTGTAACCATTGAAATGCTTAGGGGAATGTTTAATCAGTAGAAAGTATTTGTTCCTGCAAAGTAATGCCTCTAGAATTCTCAGCTAACAGAAGAGCTAGGTGTTGAGGTTTCACTCTTAGCTGTAGAGCAGACGGTGTTTTCTTGGATGGATTGCACATCATTTATGAAGCCCTCATGCATGCTTATGTTTTCAGACGAGTTTAATATGAAGAGCATTTTTAAAGATATTGAACAAAATCATGTTAAACGCATTTTTCATGTCACTCTTTCTCATCTCATTTCATCATGTTAGCCATTATGAGTTTAACTGCTATTTTATCTGTTACGTCTCATGTTTTTAAATTACTACAACCCCCTGTAAAATATATTGCTTAATCACCTTTCAGGTTGTCAGTTATTTTACAGCATGCTATAAAATTTCATTATCAGTGGTTAGGATGAAATAAAAAGGTCTAATAACACACTTCAAAAGAGAAGCTTAAGTACAGGGCTGGGCTTAGGTGGCAGTGCCTGTTAAAATCTATTTCACGCTACCATCTCACTCTCCCCATTTATGCTAACTCTTATCCTCTCCCTTCATACGGGGTGAAGGTTGGAGTGCAATTAAGACCGGAGCTCTAGGGATTTGCACTATTTGCCAAAAATTCCTCCCTTCCTTGGGTCACAGCTTTGAAATGTGTACATGACATTGCCTTTGGAAGAAGCAGGTTAAATTTCCTCAGATTTCCCATAGGAAATGCACTAAAACATTTTTTTTGTTTCACAGTCTAGGGAGGAAATGGAGCTCCTTGGATAACTGAAATGGCAGGGATAATTAAGGATTAGCCCTTGTATTTGAATCATATGTGATAACAGAAGTATCTCTGAAGCGGAGAAAAGATATTATTCATGTTTAGCTTTTCAATCAAAGATTAAAATATGTTTTATTTTATATTTGATTAATTGAAATTGATAGAGTTTACATAGTCAATAAAACTAACACATTTCTTTCTGTGCAGTGTGCAAGAACGTTTCTCACCCACATGGCCACATAAAATGTTTACTGAAGTTCCTTAATTTTTGCAGGAATATGTTGTCTTGAGAATCTCTTAGTTTTGAGCACTGAGAGAGAAACTATTAAACTAAGCCCAGACTTTAACTGGTTGGCCTTACTGGCATCTAATGAACAAAGAGTGTCTCCCACCTAAAATGGAGTAAAGTGTTGCAGGAAAAGGAGAGATATTAGATATTATTAGAGCAGTGAGCTGGATAGGGAACTCCATGGCCAACTTTTCCCAATTAGAAACGAACTACAGTCAGCCTCATAGCAGCTGCATTTCTGTTTATTTCATATTTAACTATCTCCCCTTCTTGCCTCTCCTGTCTTTTCTAGGTTGGCTGTATGCCTTGGGTTTGGAATACCAATTCCAGCAGTTCAATAGTTATAATTTCTCCTGGTGGAACAAATAAAACAATGAACGAACTTCCATGTGATACAGCCCACTATGCTTTCCTTTCCTGTGTAGTGGGGACTCTCACCTTGGCAATATTTCTACGTGTATCTTCCTTGCCAAAAATTATTCTCCTGCTTTTTGTTACAATTTTGTACATAGTTATTCTGGAACTCAGTGGTTACAGAAAAGCAGTGGGGTAGGTATCATGCAAAATTAAAGCCATGGGTATTTCTGTAGACAGTCATGATGTTGACTACTCATCTGTGAATTCTCTAGCATTCAGTCCTGCTTAGGGCTATGTACTCAGTGGAGCATAAGAAATACTTAACCCATCCTCTCCCCAGCAATTGTAGGATCTAGTAATATCCATCAAAAGGACATCAGCTTTTGGGAACTAGCAACTGTTGCCCCATTATTCTGTAGTTTTGTGCTAACATACCTCACCTAAACACATTGCAGTCTAATTATAATATGAAGTAGAAAAACAGTGCTAAAAGCTTCACTTCCATATTTCAGCAGCCCTCAAACAATTCCAATTGCATTTAAGCTTTTGAGCTTTTGAGTATTTTTATATATCCTAACGAAAAGCATGCACACACATTACAATAATGTATAGCATTATTAAATCCTCAAGAAATTGAATGTTGGTGTGATGCAGTGGTCAGATTTACTGTCACCCATTTCCCTGCCTGTACAAGCATCTTCAGAAAAGGCTAGTGATTAGAGGGTACCCACATGTTCTAAACTAAAGATCTGATATTAAACGTATGCAGTGTTAGGTATTTAGAAAACCTGGAATAATAATCCATTTAACTTTCCTTTCATTTTCAAGGGGTGGCTCCTTTTATATGCGTGGCTATGAACCAATACTAGCCATTTTGCTATTTTCTTGTGCTTTGGCACTGCATTCCAGACAGGTGGACTTGAAGCTGCGTCTGGACTACCTCTGGGCTGTACAGGTAAGTTGCAGAACTTTTAATTCTAGTATCCATGCACACAAAATGGTGTCCTACTCTTTGAACTGGCTTGCAAATACTTTCAGAACAAATTAGGTGGACTAAGACACTTTCAAAATTTTTCATGTCTGTTGTGGTTTACAGAGAACAATTATTAGAGCTTTCTTTACACAGACCTATATTATTAATTTGCTCTGGAAAAGTGATTTTTTTTGTTGTTGTTTGTAGTTGTTCCATAACAGTACATCATTGATGAAGTAAAGTATTTATATCTAAGGTGCATTGTAAATAGAGAGAATTTCAAAGATGAGAAACTGATTGTTAGCAGTATTAACTTGAGATAAAAAAATAAAATCCACAGGGTTTTTTCATCTTATAATACAAAGAGAGGTGAAAATAAGTTGATGTTCAGGTAAACTGAAAAGAAGCAAATAAAATTAATAAAAAGGAATACTTATACCCATATAATGCAATGAAAGTAAGGAACTCTTTGCCAAAGAAATATGAGAAATTTATTTAGATACCAAGTGTATGGACTTTTTTTTTGAAAATATATTTCCTAATGATCATAATCACAACAAAACCTTTAGAAATTACATAAACCATGAGCAGGAGCATCGGGAAATGTCTACCTCCTGTCATGTCTCTCAAGAGTCCTGTTCCTACTTCCAGAGTGTTTCACACTGGCCCCTGAGGAAATGAGAAAGTTGAAGAAGATGTAAGTTTGTTTTGATGGAATTTGAAAGTTGCCTTCCTAATAAATCTTACACTCTTACACTCCCATAATTCAGAGAGGTCACATCCTGTTCTCGCCTAGACCTTTTTAACTGTGTCGTTAAGACAACTGTATAAATTCTTGCAGTGCTTGCTTTTGCATGTGAAATCAAGACTGGAACACATGGATTAAATGCATTCCTTACTCTACTGTGTTACCTAGAATGGTGAAATCAAGAATGACTTAGCTCTGTTATCTTCTACTCTCAAAAACTCTTAAAGTTTTTCAACCTAACAGTTAAGGTCTGTTGGAATTTTTTGTTTGTCTTGATGTCCAAGACCATGTCCACCTCCTTTATGATTAAGGTTTATCTTGTTCTATAATTTCTGTGGACTCTGTGCTGTTTAACTGAGTCAACAACGTGTGATCACTTCATTTAATTTTTGTTCTATGACCTGCAGTATTGATAAGTGCTGTGCCTGCCAGCCTCAGAAGTTTGTTTTGGACAAACTGATAATAGTTTCCACTTGCTGTGGTGCCGAAGACAATTTTCAGGTGGAAAAAAATAATCCCTTACTTCAGAGCTCAGAGCAGCACATGACTAGATGTATAGTGTCTGTCTTTATATAGATTGGCTCACGACAGAAGTATGTGAGTGCCGTATGATCCATGAATACAAGACTGTCTGTATCTTATTCCTAGCCATGAAATAGAGTAGCAAGCAGGAAGACACTGTTTTGCTATCCTGTGGCCTTTCAACAGGTCCAGAGTGAGTTCCAGTGTCTTAAATGCTTTTCATCATTACAGCTACTATTATTTGCACAGTGAATTGTGCATCCCTAAGGAATGTACTGTTTAAAGATTCTTAGTTTTAAGTTGGTTTTTAATTAGCAATCAATTAGTTTTAAAAAATCAAGTACAGGAAACTAATGAGATGCTGCCTGCTGAAAGACCAAACCTGGACAATAGTAAAGGAAGAAAAATAAACTTTTTCTGTTTTCTTGGGGCCAGGTTTTACCGAAATACCTAGTCGACTACCACTATTGTTAAAACCATTGTGCAATTACTCCAAAGGACAATAAGGGAAGTTAAGACATATGGATGCCTATCAAATTTCAGTAATGTCCAGAGACATCTTCAGGTACCATTTCAAAGAGTACTTCTCATCTAAGAAGATCAAATGCCATTTTCAGATCTTTTCAATTGCAAATCAGGTACTTATGTGGCACCATCTTGTCTGTGAGATTTGAATGATGATAATCAGAAAGGAAAAAAAAAATCAGTGTAGGTAGAAAATTCAGAAATTAAAGATCAGGATAAGTACCATTCTCTGAAATCAGTTTACTGGGTAGATGTTTGGCCTCTGAGCATATATCCTTGTTCTCCTCAATTCCACATGGAAGATCTATTCCCTGTACAATAAACAACAGTGGATAACATGTTGTAAGGAATGTTGTTGTGGTTTCCTTTCTTTGTATTGATTATAAATGATATTGAATACAAGGGCTAATCATGCAGAAGTACTGTCATAATGGATGTTGCAGAAGTGCTTATGAATCATAGAATCACAGAATGGTTTGAGTTGGAAGGGACCTTAAATTTCACCTAGTTCCAACCCCCCTGCCATGGGCAAGGACACCTCCCACTAGCCCAGGTTGCCCAAAGCCTCATCCAGCCTGGCCTTGAACCCCTCCAGGGATGGGGCATCCACAGCTTCTCTGGGCTACCTGAGTCTCATCAGTCTCACCCTTATGGTGCTTACCTATTCAAATGGATAAGTGAGGAAAAAAAAAAAAATACTATTGTACTTATTAGGCTCTTTGACATTGTAAAAATCTTGAGTATTAAAAGCTCTGTGAAGACTGTTGGAAATATCTATATGTTAAAACTGACTATGAATAGTTAGCAAACTCCAAGCTACTAATTGTTTAACAGTCTTTAAGAGGAGACAAGGGTAAAAGCCACCTTCCTGAGCGACAGTTTTCTCTATCTGCTCAACTGCAGGAGCCCTGCCTATGGTTAAACAGCATTCGTGGACATGTTTCTTTGCAGCTGCAGTACTACTTATCATTGAACCATGTTAGCTTAACTTGGTTACGTTCTTGGTCACAGAAGTTTTAGAAAGACCACTGACTTAGTGTACAGGGACTGTGGAGATTTTCTTGATGTTTTACAGGGTGAGTGTACTGTTTTTTTGTGAAAGCACTGAATTGCATGAACCACTTGTAGAGCTGGAGACTCACATCTCCCAGTGGCCAGCTACTACTGTGTGCCAACATGGTACAAGATGTATTTTTAGGAAGCTTCTCATCAGTGGCTGGCTTACAGCTTGGAGAATTTCAGACTCAAGGACTATTTGATAAGTTGTAGGCACTTTGCATACTTTTAGTAAGGCTCATTGTGGGGCTAATCCTGTAAAAATGTGGTCTATGCTCAGGTCTGAGGAAAACCTATTTCCATAGATTTTGTCTGCCACATCAGAAAAAAAAAAATGTTTTCAGGAAAAGCAGATTTCAAACAAGAAAAACTGATTTATAAAAATTATACCATTTCAATAAAAGTTAATCTAATTTCCATGCATCTAGATTATGTAACCAAAACAGAGATAATACAGTATGACTTATGTACATTGTGTGGAAAAAATAGATTTTTTCTGATAGTTTAAACATTTATATTTGTACCTACTGTTCACACGTCAATAGTGTTATAGGTTCTTGTTGGTTTTGCTAATTTTTTTTCTGTGCCAAATTTAACCTTTCTGAATATCACAGCATTTCCAAGAAATATCTGGGTTTTGGTGGTTTTTTTAACAGGCAGTGGGAAGGGAATTTCATTGCTGAGTAACCCTGTATGCCTTATGTGACAATAACTTAGGATAGCAAATATAGGAGCATATTACTTGTTTGTGACCGATAATCACTTTTGCTTTTGCAAATTATTCAGCAAAACTGGGGGGAAAAAAAGGACAAATAAACACAAGCAATGAATTTATGAAGAAGCTAAAACTGCCAAAAAAAATTGAGTTGCTTACTCACCCAGGATTTGTCAGAGGAGCAAAATAAGAATAATACAATGGTATGACTGATGGTTACATCCTTTAGGGAATACTAGAATATCATTCAGGTGTCTTTTCTAATCTGTGACACTTGTAAGAAATATGTATTTTATAGTCAGCAGGCAAGATTTGACAGGTGTCCTCTTAAAAATCTTGCAGTATTTTTTCTTTCCCTGTGATTTTAGTGCCACCTTCAGGCACAAAGATGATGTTTCTGAAGCACCAGTGCCAGGCTTTTTAGCTGTATCTTGAAACAGTGGATATTCATGTGATAACTCTTCAGTCAGTGACACTGCTACAGCTTTTTTATGTGTATTAAACACTCATCTGAGAGCTCAGGTGATAAACAGTTCAGACTCCTTCCTGAACAGAGGATTTGTATAACCAGTTGCCAGCATCGTAAAACTGTGGGATGCCATGTAACTTTGAAAAATGCAATAGCTGTACACATGTCACACGTTCACATAGCTTACATGTCAAAAACTGTAGTACCAAAGAACATTTTAAATTTTGTCATCAGGTCCATAGCAAAAACAGCTTGCTTTTAAATACTGCGGCTCTGCAAATACAGTTCAATTCTGCAAAATGACCTAACTGCCACAAATACCAAACAGATACATGCAAAAGGTGAAAAATAACGTTGCTTATGCCTATGTATTTTCTTCTTTGTTTTCACAATGATCAGCCTTTTTTTTTTTTTTTTTTTGAGCCAGCAGCTATTGCATAAATACCATGCTGGCAGCTTTCCTTAATTAACCAATAAGAATCAGGGCAAATAGACAAAGATTTGGATGCTGTTTAGCTGTCTGGATAGTATCGCCACCAGGAATGTAAATACCTGTGATCTGTATTTTAATCTTCTTTCTCCAGCCCCAAGTATTTCTTCTGCCCTCCTGGTGTGTGTTTTGCCTGGGAAAGGGTAATGCCTACACCTCCTTTTGTCACAGCTGCTCAAACAGTAGGCACTAGGAGTTAATGAGTCAAAAGGAGGGAAGACAGTTTTCACTGCATTCCCCTGAAGGGCAGAAAGCAGAATCTGGAGAAAGGTCCAGAATATATCAGTAATCCATTTACTTACTCCCCATAGAGCTGTGTGATGGTATAGTTTTAGAGCCCTCGCTGCTGAACATGACCAAGTCTTTTTTTACCTCACTTTCACTCCTTATCTTCCCTTGCAAGAGGCACAAGGACATATTTCCTCTTTCCCCAGGCACCTCCTGAGGAGTTGCATATATAAGAGTTGTCTTATGCAGTGCAGGGAGAGATCAATACTCAAACTCTATGCTAGAGTAGCAGAGAAGGTACATTTCAGTTCATATTCCTAGCAGATCACTTTAATAAAGGCAGGATGTTAGAAATTTGGTATGTCTGGATGATGTAAATGCAGTCTATCCAGAAACTCCAACTAGGGTACCAGCAACAACATAGCAGTATTAACTCAGTGTGTGGTCTAAGCTAATATACCTTGCTTTTCAACACGACTAAGTAGCTCAAAGGGAGTGCTATGCTAATCCCATTAATGTTCTGCTTCTAGGTCTGGAGCTAGGTCAGGCAGAGCTAACACAGTTTACTCTTCATGGCACTGCATTGCCCCACATAGGCATTGCCAGTGCCAATGTCTCCCTGAACCACACCTAGAGAGAGAGAGTGCACTCTTCTCTCCCCGTTGGCTAGGAAGTGCCTGACCTGAAATACGCCAAAAGCTGAGAGCACTTGACCTACATTCCCCTTGTTCTCCTGCCTGCATAATTTGTTTCTACTTAGGTTCTACTACCATTACCCACCATGGTATTGTTCAAGGGCTTTCCATGACCTTAGTGGCTTTCATCTCATTTCTGGCAACCGAACCTTCTCAGAGTCAAAACTCTTTGCATCCGAAGAGTGAAAGATATGTTTGCTAGGTGTGTTGGAAATGTGTAATTCTACTGTATTTCTTAGCAATGGTGACATCCTTGATGCCTTGCCCTACTCTTAGAGGGTTTTGCCACCCCTTCAGTCATGACTTTATTGGTTTTGTTTGAGCCAGTAGATCTTCACTCGAGAGCTCAGTTCTCAGCCTCTTAGTCATGGCTGTGGTCCCATTGTTGTGAACATTGTCACATCTGTACCTGCACACACACAACAGTGTCACTGGCATTTCTCTCTCAGTAGTTTCATGACCATACTGAAGCGAGATAGAAAGGAGGAGAAAAGCCATCATATGTCTTAAAGTTCTTTCAGAAGAAAGCAACTAGAAAACCAACAGGCTAGAGCGCCCTTTCTTATTTATTTTATGTTGGTATATTGGAATTGTCTTTTATTACTGTGCATCAAAGGCTAGACAGAAGTCCAACAACATGACCAAAGCGTCTGCTTCAGTGCTGGCAGTTTTGTCCTTGTGCTGTGGCTTGCTCTGAAACCGTTGTTGTGAATCATACACAATGACAGGAAACACTACATATTGCTGCAGAGCCTTCTCAGTCATGTCTTCCAAAATGGTCCATGACTGGGCAAGGCAGAGGAATCTGATCACACGTTTCCAGATCAGAAACAAACAACATCTGCCAGTGATTGAGCAACATCACTATCCATGCAAGTGCTTCAAACTGATTATTCCACTTACCTACCCTTACTTGATTACATTGACTTGTCCAGAAATCTCTACCCCCTGGCCCAAAGGTGTATTGTTCTTTAGGCTGCTGTTCTGCCCCATATTGTATTGGGAGCTTAGCTGAGAACCTCAGGCATTCCTAGGAAGAAAGTAACAAAAAAGTTCATATTCAAAAAATAGAGGAATTGATAAACAAGCCCAAAATGTATTTCTTCTTCAGAGCATGAATTCAGTTTACACATCTCTTTACCGTCATCAGAATAAAATTTCCTGTATTTCAGTCTGGTGTAAAAATGGAGTTGTAAGCTTGGTTTGGATTTTCAGCTGGAAAAAGCTTTTTATTTTTACTGTTAGAACATTTAAATTCCAACCATCTGACTAAACGCAAGAGGCCATTACACATGTTTATAGACAACAATAAGTCAAAGACAGAGTTATACCACCAAAACAGGGGAAGGATACTTTAAGAAAACAGCATATGAAATTGAAACAGCAAAAAAAGTGTCAGGAGAGTAGCTCACAAACAGGAAATAGATACTTGCTTAGAATAAAAATTTCAGGTGTATTTCATGCAAAGCTTAACTGCTACTCTAATGTTTACTGATATTTCAGCTCTGGAATAAATTCTGATTCTTATTACACAAATTAGAGGAGGAGCTAAGAATTTATTTTGAAAGGGAATGATTTCTGAAGAAGTTATGTTTATAAAACCAGTTCTCTTTCAGCATTCTTTCTACTTATAAAGAAATTTAAGAATACGGAAGTAAACTGCAAGGAAGTGTGTGTTTTGAATAAAACAGTTGTTTCCTGACATGGAAAGCAAAAATTAGCTTCCTGAAAAAAAAAATCACATGAAAAGAATATTGTAAGACTATACAAAGGCAAGAGGTGACTGGTTTCCTCCTACTTAGACAGCAATGGATAGTGAGAAAGGTATGTGGACTTTGTAATAGATCAGGATAGAAAATCCTAGATACAAAAGGGACACCAACAAAGATTAGAGCAGATTCTTCAGTGGTTTACGTGATTGTAATTTCTCAACAACGCCTGAGAATTTGGCCTTCCAGTAGTCTGCTGACTGTAATTAGATAAACAAAATCATATTGGAATCACAGCAGAAGATTTGTGTTAAAGTTCTGTGAGTGTGATTGAAGAGCAAAGAATAAGATGTGATTTGTGTGAGATTAATTATATGGTACCGATCAAATGTTTTCTAATTTAAATCAGAAAATGGGGCCAGAAGTCACCCTAACAATAAGTTGCAAATTCCAGAGAAGTAATTGTGCAGGAGAGTCTACTAAGGACTGGGCTGGAATTTGCAAACCTAGGAGTCCCACAGGAGATTCCTTGATATTCAGTATTTTTCCAATATGGAATCTGATTTTTCGTTGTTTCCAAGTGTGTGACTCCCTCTAACTACTGTGAGTCAAGACACTTGCAACAAGATACCAGTCAAGGACTTCAGCTGTGTTAACTTCTAGGCACTCTTTCTGAATTCTGTTATTCCAATGAATGATAAAATTTCTGTTGCTGTTGTGCACAGAAATTTCTGTGCACAGGAACTGTATATGTTTTAATGAAAAATACCAGAGTAATTAAAACCAATTTTAGAAATGCTAATTATTTTTTACATTCCAATCTTTTTAATTGCATATCATTCTTAAAGGATGTTCAATTTTCAAACCTCTTTCTCTGTTGAAGTTACTGTCTTACCAGGTCTGTTGCCATTTTACTGCAGAATTATGTAGGTTTGCTTTAAACACTGGTGCTTATCCAGGCCTCTTTTTTTTGAAAGGTGGATCAAATACTGCTGTCACCATCTCCACCTACCTGGGAATTTAAGTGGCCTCCAAGGCCAATGGGACTTCAGTGGGATTATTCTAGCTTTTTACTCTGTAAAAATATCAGAGGCCTATTTAAAAGAACAAAGAACTGCAGAAAACACCAATACACTTAGCTGATGAAGCCCTTAATGTAGTCATCAGCCCAGAGACTTAAGCTTGAATTACTAAGGACTTAAGTGATTTTGCCCAGATGTAAAAGCATGGTATAGGAGAACTGTTCCCATTCTACTTTGCAGGCATTATTTTGCTCAGTTTAATTTCAAAGGATCAATTAATAGAAGCAATGTAATGGCTTCAGATTTTTTTTTTTTTTTTTTTGCTTTTTGGAAAGGTTTTTCTTTTCTTCTATCCCCACAGGCAGAAGAAGAGAGAGATGATATGGAGAGAGTCAAGCTGGATAATAAAAGAATTCTCTTCAACCTGTTGCCAGCACATGTTGCACAGCACTTTCTTATGTCTAATCCAAGAAATATGGTAAACCAAGATAAAATTTAAATACATGGTGGTGTTGTGTGGGTGTGACCCTGTGTAGCTTGGGTCACCTTTCACCTCTATGTTTTCAAGAAAGGCTTGGACTTATAAAATTTCATTCATGTTGAAACAAATAGTTTTCTAAAAATTTGTGTTCAGGAATTAGATTGGGATTATTTCTTTCACTGTAGTAAAGAAGAATTTTAATAAGAAGCAGGATAAGGGAATGTTGTGTCATTCAACATCAACGCATCCAAGTGTTGCATGCAAATCACTGTTTTTTTTTTTTTTCAATCAGTTTAGAATATTGGGATTTATCACAGTATTTCCTGGGCTCAGTTTGGTTCTGAATGGTGAAGTGTATGAAATGCCAGACACTTCCATATAATCATAGAATCATGGAATCATTAAGGTTGGAAAAGACCTAAAGGATCATCAAGTCCAACCGTCAACCCAACACCACCTAACTCACTCTAGCTCTGAAATATGCTGACATTACCAAAGCCATCAATTTAAAGTTAAAAACAGAGAATTGTACACACCTAAGGAAGACACAGTAGCTTTTAACTTCAAAGGCTGCAGTAATTAAAAGTGGTTCAGGAAGCCCTTCACAGAGTCCTCTGGTGCAGCTGTGATACCTGCAGCACCAGAATAGCCATAATGGCCATGATACTTCTTTTTAGACTTTGGATCCATGTATTTCAACACAGAAGAGTGGTTTGACTTTCTGTGAGCCCTCAGAATTCTTAAGCAGTAACCTTACTGTGCAGAACAGCATTATATTGTTAATGTTGAATACAGGACTCCATAACTCAGGGAAAGACATGAAGGAGCGAGTGTGATGGGTCAGTCCTTGGCTGGGGGCCAAACCACACACCCACTCACCCAGTTCCCCCCCACACCTGAGGACAGGGGAGAGTATTAAAGGGGTGAAGGGAAAAAAGGACTCGTGGGTTGAGATAAGAACAATTTAATAACTAAACTACAATAATATTGAAAATAATACTATATACAAATATACAAATGAGTGATACACAGTGACACTGCCCCCCCACCCGATGACCAAGGCTCAGCCTGTTCCTGGCTAACGATCCCGGAGCAGGGAGAGTCCTGAAACCGCACTCACAGAACGGAGAGAACAGTCCGAGCATCCCAGACCCAGAGCTGACCGGGGTGGGGGGGAAAGGCCTTGGGAGAGCGACCACCTGGAGCGAGATGATCCGGAGCAAAAGAGATCCGGAACCAAAAGGGCTGATCTTCCGGAGGGTCCTCACCTCTATCCTGGGCATGACGGGTATGGTATGGGATAGATTATTGGCCACTCTGGGTCTCAGTCCCAAACCTGAGATCAAATCCTGGGCTGGTCACTGGGGCTGTGCTCCCTCCCAGCCTCCCTGGTCTGCCGACCTTGGCAGTGGCACAAAACATCGCTTCTTATCAGCTTTCTTCTGAGCACAAATCCAAAACACAACTTCTTGCTAGCTGTTATGAAGAAAGTTAACTCTGTCTCTGCTTAACCCAGGACAGCAAGGCTGGTTTTGTACTGCAGGGCAAAATGGTTTCTCCTGTTTTATTTATAAAACAAATTTGAGGAAATGCGGTTATGTTTCTGATACAGTAAAAGTTCTGTCACTGTTAAGACTTTCTACAAAATTTTTACTCACTTCTTCCATGTCTAAACAGAAAAAAAACCAAAGTTGTTTTAAATGGGATTAATAGCTTAGGTGTTAATTTTCTTTTGTGGTTTTGAGTGGAGAGGTCTTTCAACATCTTTTTAACAAGGCTGGCTTTCTCGTTACCAAAAATGATGGCTTTTGTCCCAGATAATGCTTAGCAGTAGAACAGATATGATAATAATGATGTCTGGTTTAGATTAATCTTTTAAAACAAAAATTATGTCTGTTCATGAACTGCAGGACCTTTATTACCAGTCATATTCACAAGTGGGAGTGATGTTTGCTTCCATCCCAAATTTCAATGATTTCTACATTGAATTGGATGGCAATAATATGGGAGTGGAATGTTTACGCCTGTTAAATGAAATCATTGCTGATTTTGATGAGGTAAGGTCTAAACACTTTGTCTTTTGACCATATCAGTTCTACCAAATTACTATCAGCAGAGATTATCTGTAGCAAGTCAGCATATCTTGAACTGTCTAATAAAACAGTTCTGTAAACTTCCTATTTAATTGAAGTTGGTGTCCACTGGGCTTCTCCAAAGTGCCCAGTTTGTACTTTTAGGCACATGAGTCTGACCTCAAATTCCTCTAATGTAGGAAGAGGATTAAAATGCAAGTTAATGGTAGTGTTGTCAATGACTTCAAAGTGGGCAAGCCTCAACTTGCCAAAAATAATATGGTTTAATCAACTTGCCCACATTATCTAATAACTATGGCTGCTTGTCTAAAATATTATGTAATATTTAACAGTTTTATGTTTTAAACAAAGCTTATGGAAAAAGAATATTATAAGGACATAGAAAAGATCAAGACAATTGGAAGTACATATATGGCAGCTGTGGGACTCGTACCTACTTCAGGAACTAAGGTAAGAAGAGTTTACATGATGGTCATTTGTGGAGGAACCATTCTCCTTCGATTTCCAGAGGGACATCAGAAACACAACTAACTCTGTGATTATGAATAAATTGTATTATTTCTTTACAACAATTTAAATCTGAAATTCAAAGAACAACTATAGCCTGAATAGAAAAATTGCTACCCTAGCAGTTGCTCATGTGGCTTCATTTAGGATTTCATTGTCTGCAGCTGTGGATTCTCTGCAAACTGTCTCCTAAATCGGAATGGCAGTGCTTTAAATCTGGTATCTTAGATGACCGTGAATGAGAGACTCTAGAGGTAGTGAATTGCTGCAAAAAACTAACGCAAGAATATTTAAATATGATTTTTTTTTCTTTTTTATATTGAAACCTGGGTACAACCTACAATCAAAACAAACAGCCCCTATGATGGACAGGAACTTAGTACTAGGTACATTGCTGCACTTTGCCCTGGTCCCTCCAAATCAGGTTGTCTTTGTCTCTACTGATAGCATTCTTTTTACTCATTTGGTTACTCAGCAATAAAAAAAGTCTAAGTAATTTCAGGCCCACTAGTTCTGAGGCACTTTTCTTCTTCTGTGTCCTCGTTACTACTCCTGAGTCTGTTTCTTGCCTTAAGTTTGTGTCTTGGGACAGAGATTTGCATACAGCATCTGGAAAAGCAGAGAACCATGTGGACAGTATACTGAGTATTTTCTATACAGAGTACTGTGCACATTAATAACTATATTAGTAAAATTAATTTATGGAAAAGTAATAAAATTAATAATATGAGGAATATAATGAAAATTACAGCAATCCATGCACTTAGTCTGCCCAGAATTTCCAGGCACCTCTCCCCTGTTCTGATATGCATGTACGTATGTTGTAGAAGTACAGTCATGCATGTGGCTTAGCATTGCAAAATAGTATCAAAATAGAGGGCAAAAGCAAAAAAAAAAAGGGACAGAAGATGGCCTGTGAACCTTCTAGCAACAATTATCCTTGTTAAGTAAACAAAAAACAAGACCACATTGAAATCAACTGTTGGAATCATGTTGGAGTATGTGACATGCAACTCATTTATGGTCTGCAGGGTATTTATAGCTGATACTTTCCTTTTTATCATTCCTAGAGATCCACACATTACAAAAAAGGTATTTTTAAAATTCTGTTTATGCTGAAATGTTTGACTCCTGGCTCCTGAGACAGGCGAAAAAAATTGATCCTTTGAATTTTGTCTGGTGATCTCAGGCAAATAGGCAACAGCATACTTGTGTGTCTGCTATAAATGGTCTTTGAACTATAATCCCGAAAACAACAGTGTTATTGGGTAACTTTGGCAGCATATGTTCCAAAACCTAAACGTGTTTATCTCCTGTATTTTATAGTTGCTAACTGAAGGGTCAGCTGAGTTAGCCCAGTACTGAAGATACCGCTCTGAGCTTATGATAGTAATGCATTTTAAATCACTGCAGAGGGTCTTGTACAGGACTCTGCCTTTCTCTGAATCCTTGTGGCAAATTTCGATCTTTTCTGTACAGGTAGAATTTATTTAACATTCTGCATTCCAGAAAACCTAAAGATCTTGTATAAAACAGCCAATATTTTTTACTTTAACTTGGGATTTCAGCTCTTCTGTGATCTTTTCACACTGTGATGCAAACAAGTAGAAATTATTCACATCCCCTTGGGAGTTTCACACTAGGTCTTCAGCATGCAGCTATGTATTAGAAGTCCAATGATCCTGTGTAGCCTGTCATGCGCAGATGATCACTGTCAGCCATCACACAGTCCCTGGGCTGCCTTATGGACTCGTGTCTGTGGGGAGCCATAAAAGACTCAAGTGCTTTTGGTCTCCCCTCTGCCAGCGGTGTCCCAGCTTCATCAGAAAAACTGACACAACCTCTGATTGTGAGCCACCAAATTCATACTAGGATTTGGACATGAGCAGAAAGCAGTGGATAGGCTTAACTGTGTTCTTGACTGAAGATATTTACACACATAAAAACCCAGTACCCTGATAAAGGTAAATATTTAAATCCCGTATTTTACAGGACTGGTGTTTCTGCAGCTTGGCTTCAGCAGCTGACTATGGTAAATGCACATTGCCTCTGTCAGAGTGGTTTTTCTGTGATGCTCTGGACAGCCTTTCCAGTAACTATTCCTCTGATGTTTAAATAAATAATTGCTTGCTGGTTACATCATCCGGGCAGCACACAAACCAAGCTCTTTGTAGATCTTTTGTACAATTAAAGTTCATTGTGTGTGTGGAGTCCTTTGAAATTACGTATGTGACTTCACCAGGGTCCTGACTTCACCAGGGTCCTATCTTTGTGGTGTTCTTCAGTGCAGGTTCAAAAGAGTTTGCCAATAATCCTTTTGAGAGGCATCTGTCACCTGCAGTGCATCCAGTATTTGTCACCAGTGTTCTCTCCTACAACCCTGTATTCCTGCATTGCAGGAAATCAAAACATTCATCAGACAGCAAAGAAATGGAAGGATAAGGAATATAAAGAAGATTAGAGGATTAAATAAAACAATACACTCCTCCCTCCCTCCTCCAGACATTCCATATTCTTCTCCTTCTCTGTTGGAAGTGTAGCCATCAGCTCTTCAAACTTAATTCTTTTTCTTCCTTTGTCTTGGTAAGGCTGGAAGAGAGTAGAGCTAGTTGACACTGCAAGAAGCAGAATGCCAGAGACCCAGGCAGGTAAATAAAAATATCCTTCCTTAAAATTTGGACTGGCCCAAGGATGACTTTCATAATTTTTTGTTAGGACTTTGCTCTAATTTTTGGAAATTTCCTGGCCACATGAAGGAACCCTTTCAAACTGAGCTGAATAAAGCAAATAGCAATCTGTTTATCAGGTTTCTCAGCCACCATCAAGTACTCCACATATACAATCTCACTATCATGACAAAAACCCAGCGAGCTCTCATCTCGTGCCAGCTGCCGCAGCCCTGTTGTGCAACACCCTACTGAAGCCAGACTGCCGCTGACCCTGCATTTCTTTCACCGTATCCTACCTTTAGCCCACTTTCACTTTGCAAATCTGTTCAAGAATTCATATTTATTACTCGAGTAAGACCACAACATAAGAGCAACCCTAATGAGTCAGGTCAAAGGTCTATTCAAGAAGACTGTCTTTAATGAGCCTTCGGTAGATCCTGGGGCAAGAGCATGAGTTACAAGAAAAACATGCAAACCTCTCTTTTCCACTTTCTAATGATTTACTGCTTAAGAAATTCTAGCGCTACAGGTAATATCTTTTTACTACTTTGTAGCAAATATTTCTTCCATGAGTTTGAGTAATTATGTTTGAATCTAGCTAACATCTGGAATCCACAGTGTCCTCTGAAAATGAGTTCCACCGTTTAATCAGACTTAAGTTGTAAAAATTATTTTCTTATGTTTGGAGGGTTTTTTACAAGTTGATAATTCAAGCATTTCATTTGACACCCTTCTGATTCTTTTGCTTCAGTTCATCTACATACATTTTATAACAAGTCACTTCAGGTTGCCTGGAAAGGAAAAAAAATAGGGGTGTTCTGCATCTCCCAGGATTAAACCTAACAGGAATTTTGTCAGTGGGAACAGCATGCACCCCATAGAGCTGGGAGCTAGCAAAAACCCCAAAGGGAGGAGAGGGCAGAAACTATAGTTATTAATAATCATCAGGCAAAGCAGTTTTGTAAGAAAGCAGGTTATATTCCCTGCCACACTCACAACAAACATCTGCAGCTCTCTAGCAACGGAACCACTTTACCATGGGAACTTTGGTTTCCATTATTCCCAGAAATCAAAAAGAGAGAAAGAGAAGAAAAAAAAAAATCAGTACTTGAGAAATGAATGCCTATGCTGTAGCTACCATCAAAAGTTTCTTTTCACAGACAGCAAAATGGGTTAGATTCTTCTAAGCCATCCAGTCTGAGTTTTTCATTGTTTTTCACTTTGGTATTTCACCTGCCTCTCAGTACCATACTAATGTAATGTGCAATACTATTTTTTTTCCTAGGCTAAAAAATCAATTTATTCCCATCTGAGTACACTGGCAGATTTTGCAATAGAGATGTTTGACGTTCTTGATGAAATCAACTATCAGTCTTACAACGACTTTGTCCTACGAGTTGGTAAGTCATGTTTCTACAATTATCACACAAGCACGTTGTTGTTTGTTGGCTTTCCCTGTGCTTGTCTGCAAAGGATTACCTGTCCTGCACTCATGATCGAAACTGAAAAGCCTTGTTTAGTGAGAGAGTCACATCCATGTAGAAGGTCAGCAGGCTGGATGGTGAGTATCAGTATTAAGGCATTATAATTGTGTCCAGTTCCACTGTGTTTATGCACCCCAAAAAGGAAACTGCACCAATAATTTTATACAATATTATTAGTGTACCCAGTCCTGGGGCTTACACTGCTTTGCATTACTGAACTGCTGAAAACTGGGTCTGACGGTACTTAACTAGTTAAGTTTCATCTGCAAAAGTTTTGTTGGCATTAAAAGTGTGATGGGAGCTTTTTGTCCACAGATGTCAAATTACTTCAACCACTCCTGTTTTCTCCAACAAATCAAATCCTCTTGTCTTCACAACACAAACCTTCACATGCAATCCTTTACATGTTATTACATGTCTTACCTCTCAGAGTCCTTTCTCCCAGTCTTCTTAGAGAGCAAGTTCCCCTATTCCCTTCCTTCCCTGCATCATGCTACTCTCCAATGGTACTTCCACAGCTGTTCTTACTTCATTGCATATTCTAACACAGATAGTTTTCTCCAGCTTCCTTCTCTATGTATTTTCATGGCTGATTTGTAAGAATGGGGTAGACAAGTGGAAAAGTGAGGTTGCTCGCAGTGGAAGATTGAGAAGGACCAAAGACATCAAAGGTAGCAATAGGAGAGTTATACATCTTTGCCCTCCTGTACATCCTAATAATTATGAACCCCAAATTCTCTTTAAACTCGTTATAACTGGTCTTTCCAGGTTCACAAAGGAGCAGAAGACAAATATATAACCCCATTCTTCTGCATAACTTGCCTGGGAAAGCCCTTGCACAGAACCTGATGTGGGGTTTAGCATCTACAGCTCTTCAGGGCACTCAGAAGAAGGAACATCCTCTTTTATCTTCCAAACAAGGTGTCAAAATCAGTCCAAAATGTAGAATCAAGCCCTGTGGTTTCCAAAAAAAAGATACTTGAGCCATTTTCACATACTATTGGCTTCTTCCAGTGTCTCCCTGATCTGTGTTGTCTAGTACTGACAACCAACATGACACACTTCCCTTATCCCGTTCCTTGTGTCTTCCAGACCACTATTTCTGTTCCACTTAGAAAACCTCAATTTAAAGCCTATACATGAGCAACCACAGTGGAAGTCATAGCAAACAATTAAAGATCTATAACAGTTTGTCCTCAATTTTTCTACAGCTAAACTCTGCACTACCACTGCTTTTCTTCTTTTCTTAAACAAAAAAAAAAAAAAAAGAAAATACACAGATGAGCCAAATTTTTATGTTGTCTATCATATTGCATTTCCAATAAGATATCTCTGGGTATGTTTTTATTTTGTTTCTAAATCTCTTACTAATACAGAAGTCCAATGGGCATTAATTTAACATGTACTATGTCCTATGACCAGAAAAATTCTAAGGCACTTCTGTTAAATCTATTTTGCAGGACTCATATTTCCCTCGAATAATATGCTGCAGTGTTTGAAACCAAAGTCATTGTTTTGATTTTAGGTATTAATGTTGGGCCAGTAGTGGCTGGAGTCATTGGAGCCAGAAGACCACAGTATGATATCTGGGGGAACACTGTAAATGTTGCCAGCCGGATGGATAGTACTGGGGTGCAGGGGAAAATTCAGGTGAGTGCATTCTGAGTCAATTTCGCAAACTTTATATACCTCATGTTTTATGTGTAGTTACGTTTTCAAGACCATTTAGAAAATGCAACATCACTTGATCTTGTGGTTCTTATGAAAAGGGCAACGTTCTCCAGATGATTCAAGCATCAGAGGTATAGCAGTTTTCATTATATACACCTCACGACAACAAAATCCTCAGATCATATCACATCAGAAGAAACAGACTTCTCTGCTGCATTGCACACCGTTGGAGGCAAGGCTGGAAATGCCGACACTGCATGGGCCAGTCCTTGTGCTGTAGGAATTTTGCCTGAATAAAGACTACAAAGCAAGGATCTATGTCCATTTGCATCCTGATGCATCTTATGTAGCTTTAAAAATTCCTTGGGTACTTTGGATTGGAGAGACTACACAGACAGAGGACACTGTTGTTCTGCTAGAGCTTGGCTAGAAGCTATTCTACACCTCTCAAAAAAATCTCAATGAACTCTTGCAGTCCTTTATCTAAAATACCTGTGTAGTTTCCAGGGATCAAAAGTTCTTCTGGAGTAAATTAACGTCACTGGAACTGATCCAGCTTACAACAGTGGACAACTTGGTTACACATTTCTGTTGGCTGGAGATTAATCTGGCTGTGTAATTATTCAGCTCAAGACCAGAAGTTCTGCTTCTCAGATTCCCGTTTGGACAGTGATTTTTAATTCCTTAAGAAAATTCAAAGTAGGTGCAGCAGTAGGTGCTAATTCATTCTGCTTATGTGTATTTCATGACAGCGAGGTAAAATGGGGAAGGGCGGGCAGTTCTAGGATTAACCTTATATGAACAGGAAAAAACTAATAGTTCTTTTTTCTGTCTTCAGGTGACAGAAGAAGTTCAGCGGATATTAAAAAGGTGCAGTTATGAATTCGTGTGCAGAGGTAAAGTCAGTGTAAAGGGAAAAGGCGAAATGTTGACCTATTTCCTGGAAGGAAAGGCTGATGGAAATAATTCACAAACACAGTCTTTAAACTTAGAGCGGAAAATGTACCCTTACAGGACAGCAAATATTCAAACAAAACTGGGCAGCAGCTGTCCGTCAGTGTCCTCAGTTGCTAGCTTTACTGTAAAAGCTGGGCTTGGAGCAGGTCAAGCGTCTGCCACTCATACAAATCAAACACTGCGTTATCTTCCTTCTGTGCCAGCTGTGAAGGAGGCATAGAGCAGAGGAGGTTTGGTTGTGCCATTTGCAGTGAACTTGGAGAGCAATGCTTGCCTGAATTTTTACCAAGAGGTCAGAAGTTCATAGGTCATGGCATTAACCAAGGACCACTACAACCCAACCAAAGAGAACTTGGGGACTGTGTAACGAACTGTTGGGATGGAACAAATAAGGGCTAGCAATTCTGTTAGGAAAAGTCAAAACCTGATTTTCTGGAAATGAGGAATATTTTCTTGGCATTTTTAAAGAATAAATGAAAAAAAAGGAGATAAACGTGCAAGCAATTATTTATATGTGTGTGTGTATATATATGTTTTAATCTATATATGCACATATACAAACAGTCCTGTGTAGACTTAATAGAGATTTATAGAGATCAACACAAAAATAAGCATTTATTTACACATCCACCTGCAACGACATAGCAAAGAGATTTCTCTTTCTGTCATAGCCAGCATCGTTGGGTCTGGGATAAGCAAAGCTGCATTTAACCATGGAGTGTGAGGCATCTGGAGACTCTCCAGGGCTACAGCAAGAGTTAGAGAAACTGTGCTCCCAGCGCATGAGTTAAAGCAATGAGAACAGTGTGCATTGTGCTGTCAATAGCAGATTAATGAAGGCTGGATTCAGCTAATTGCTAAAATGTATGTATTTTTTAAAATTCTTCTTGCATGCTCCAAAAACTTCAGAAAAATTCTAATTCAGACTGTAACACTAGGATAGGAAGTAGATACACCACAGAGCTTAAAGGTTTGGCAGAAGAACAATATATATTCTTTCATTTTAAAAAAAAAAATAAAAAGGTGGTAGAGTTTAGAAGTTTTAGAAGTTGCTGCCTCTTCACAGGTCATTTGTCTCTGTGCAAGACAGAGGAGCACCCGGCAAGCACAGCAATATGGTTATGCAATATAGAAACATTCCTTTGTGTATAGTGCTGATTTTATTGAAGAGAAGAAGATGGTGTTATTTCAGGCTTCTAAAAAGAGCACTGTGTCTCAGTTCCAGGATTTAGCTTTACCTTTCTAAACAGCTCAAAGAACAGTCCTGTACTGGTGACAAAAACGCTGTTGCTATCTTTTGTGACATTTGTATGTTTGCCAATGTAGTCTTACTCCTTCATTGATTTTTAAATTTCTGACGGTTTTATTATATCTTGATTCTACCCAGACTCATTCTTCAAAGCTGTACAATTATCGAAAGCTGTAATTCTGAGAAACAAGCACAGTCAAACTTTGCCCAAATGAGGAGTACAGTGGTAAACGTGCCAGGAGAGTAAGGCCTGCTCTTAATCTGCATAAAAGGGAACATATTTTGACTGCTTTTTGCTTGAATGCAGCCTGCTTCCTATTGTTCATTGTTTCATCTTGCACGTGCCATACTGTCCTGATGGGGATGCACAAGCTAACCAGCCTCACTGCTTTCCAAGAGAAACAAAACCTTTATCTTGTCTAAAAACATGGAAAACTTCCTTTTAACAAAAAAACAAACCAAAATAAAACAAAACAAAACAAAACCGAAAAGAAAAAAAACCAACCAAACAAAAAAAACCAACCCAAAAAACCCTCCCAAGACTACAGAAGTTGCACAGCTTGTACAGTAGAAAACTACATTTCCCTTTGGTGGGCCTGTTTGATCACTGATTTGAGTGGAAAGAAGATTCTGAGCATTTCTCCTTCAATCAGCATTTGCTTTGGAGTAGTCACTGTTTGTGTGAAAAGTATAGGGACAAATACTGTGTCAAAGGATGCAAATGGTTAAAGAAAGGCTGCAGGAGATTCTGTTCTCCATGTAGCCATATGAGGCTGCTGGCGGACTCCAGTGGTTTTCAGCAGGGTTTTTAATTCATTTTTATATACCCTGTCAGCTAGGTGCTTCGTTACAAAGCTAACAAACTTAGTGTTGTGGTTAAAGAGACTATAAAATCCAAGAATTGCTTCCTAACTGTACTAGGTGTATGAACCCTGGCTGATCTGTGGAAACACACTGCATTTCTTTATCTCCCTAGCAGTCTTCCAGTTCTTTTAGGAGAATTGAATTCTGGTTTTGAGGCGTTCAAAGCCATTTAAATGAAGACATGTAGAGACTTAAAATAACAAATATTTACATAATTAAACCGAATAAGTGGTATCCACGTAAAGCGCGCTGCGTATTTATGTTTTCTAGGAGGTTTATAAGAACTAAGTCATCACACAGGTAAATTAAATGTTTCACCAAAATGGAAAGCATTAATCACTCAGTTCCACTCACAAAGAACCCAAGTTACACAATCTTTGAATCAGTGAATTTGGTGTAATTTCACCAATAATAATAAAAAAACACTATTTTTACATGTACTGTTATTAAAAGCATCTTCAGATCCTACCAGCAGATCTGGTAGTAGGTGAACACATAGACCAAATACAGCCATTGACCTACTCCAAAAGCTTACAATGAAATTATTTTTCTGTTGCTTTTTTAATAGGTCCAAGATATATTCTTGTATCACTAAATGGACAGTGAGCAGAAATGAATTGTCCGCTGTGCTAATATTTTTGGGACTGTTCTCGTTCCCAGCCTAGCCCTGGAGTAATGTCAGTGAAAGATTATGTAGCAAGGTAAATTTGGATTATTAATTTTAGTATTTTAAAATATTAACAGATGCTAGTGGAATTACTCCAGTTTTTTCTAAGCCTGATCCTCCTCTCCAACAGTCAAATGAGGCACGGGACTTTTGTAAGAATGTTTTCCATGTTGAATGGAAAGGACCAGACAGGCGCAGTCTATCATCAGCTTCTCATTTGTCCTTTTTGCAGAAGATCTGTTGCTTTGGAGCAGGTTTAATGGACCAGGATGGCTTTTTGGTGCTGCAGCCAGTGCAATGTATGTGTGCTAGTTTACAGCATCAGTGATGGTATATTTGGAGTCAGTTTCCAGACTTTATAGAGTCCTACCATTAACATTTTTCATATTTGTGTTGTGGTTGTTGTTGCTGGTTTTACCATGGGGAAAACTATATTTTTCTATGTAGTCCTTGACTGAGCTGGACAGAATCATCAAGAAAGTTCAGCCAAGGCACAAATTAGTAAAAAGCCATGTGAAAATGATAGGCAGAGTTCAGCAGCTATTCCAACAGGGAAAACTGAATGCCTGTTAAAATAATGATATAATGAAGCTGTGCTCTTGCCTTTATGCTTTCCCTCCCTATTAATATAATTTTTCCCCATTTTCTTTTTATGTATACATTTATTTTATCTCTCTGTTCTTCTGCATTCTTTGATATGATCAGTAAGTTTTATACATGGAAAGAGGTAGTAGTAATATTTCCGAGAAGACCACAAACACACATTTTCTGCCAAATTAGAAAGCTTGTCAGAAAATTTTTCTTGGCAATTGGCTGAAGATAATATGTGGCCTGTTCCAACATCCCTGAAAATCATCAGAAGCATTTCCTTGGATTTCTGTGGGATTGGGATTGTGTCCACTATAATGCATGCAGTTGTATTTCCTATCTTGCATTTATTAATTTTCTGGTCAAGTTCTGTACCTTTTGCCTGGGTGACCTTGCTGTAGCCCTAACAAGGAGTCGGTTCTGCCCCACAGTACATCAAGTCCCTCATGTTTAACCGAGGATAGTACCTTGTTGCATTGTGGGCAGAATAGCCTCCTGCACTTCTGTTCACTGTTTTGTGCAGCTGTTAGCTTTAAGCAATTAACAATTGACAAGCCCTACAACAAAGTGATGCCATTTTGGCATGTCAGCGTCTGTCAATAGCAAGCACAATATATTCCACATCAGTTTGCACGTTTTCTCTTTCAGATAATAGTAATAATCGAAGTCTTCTGTTCTTTATATAAGGAGATGAGTATCAGATATCTTCAGACTTCACTGTCTTGGGAGCTAATTTCAAAGTGTTCCTATGCTACCTTTGATTTTTAAAGTGAAAAAATGATTTTTTTTAATTATTATTCTCTGCTGAGATTACAAACTGGCATTGAGTTGAATTACTGGCTAGATATTTCCAAACATTTTCCATTTGCATTGACTAGAAAGCTATTTTATCCAGCTTGTAAAATGCGTTGGGTTTTTGTAGCTGTTTCCCGCTGTGGCAACTCACACTCTCATCTTCACTAAAACACATGCAAATTCTCCCGTGCTTTTTCTAGGTGAGAGCCAAAAGCTTCAGCTTGTTAGGGCTGAATCAGCATCCCGTATGTCCCCACAAAGCCTGCAGAAATCACCAGGAGTTTAGTATGCTGATGAGGGTCAGGAGTTGAGCTTCTGTAGGGCGAGTTCTGCTTGGGGTTACAGCGATGTCTTGCATCGGTACTGAACTGAATATTTTATAACACTGTAACCAAGAGTAGGTCATGCGCCTACATCTCTTTCACACTTTTGCCTGTCATGTATCTTTAAGGCAAAAGAAAAGACTTGGGAGTCACTGTTCGAAGGGTCAGATATGACCTGTGCCATTTTAGTGCTTTGAGGAGTCTGAACACTAAGTAGTGAGAATCATGTTCATGTGTTGAATTCCTGCTTGTAGCAGAAACCAAGTGTTTTCTTTACATCAGCATATCCAGATTCTGTGTGTGTTGTGCCCAGGCAGGAGGACTATTTAGCCATAATGTTCTTTCAAGTTAGAGTTTTGTATTACAGTGAAAACCAACATTTTTTTAATTTGTGATAAACCTGTATTATAATGCCTTATTTATTTTTAATCTTGTACAGTGTTACAAAACAACAGAAAACATTGGCCTTTCATGTATTATTCACTTTAAAAGATATATTGTATTATGAAATTTTGTAAATAGTTTTAGCTCGGACAGGTAATTGCATGTACACTTGTATAAAAAGAGGCAAAAAGGCACACTTTTAACAAATGTTAATGACTTTTGTAAGAGACATTTTACATGTGCATGGAGGTTATAAATCCTTTGGAAATGGATGTCCTTTTGCTTTTCCTTGCAATCTATTGCATGCCACTCATGCCTGACTTCAGTAAAACTAAACAAATTAGTAAGTTTTCCTAAATGTTTCTGACATATAAATTCTGGCACAGAGTGAAATCCACTAGTTGCATGTGCATTCAGCAAAGCCAAATCAAAATGCAAACAGCAAATAAAGAAGAAAAATAATTTAATGATTGTGATCTGCCAATCTCAGTGTTCCAAGATCCGTAATACAGTATATGAAAAGTGTTTTCAACATCTATGCTGTCTTCATAAGGTACCTTCTGGTCATTAGAAGCAATAAACTCTACGTACTGTGATATAAAAGGCAAGCAGATATTCTAGTTC